CAATAATAAAAGTTTAGTGATTCAATTTCAAGATTAATTTTGGACTATATTCACAAACCTTATGTAAGTATTTTTATTGTGTTTCCAAGAGAAATAAATTAATTTTGTTAAAGTTTACAAAGCTTGTTGACTTCATTCTTTTCTTTTGTTGCATTTGTACGAGAATACAAAAAAACATGAAAAAATTGGGGTTCTCGTGTTTGGGACATGTGAATTTTGGCTAAATATTTCAGAAAATTGTTTATTCAAATTTATATTTCCCCTACTTTTTAAATCACAAGCACTCTTTTACATTTTGTTTGAAATATTTAGTTAAAACAACAGGCTTTCATTCACAATGTCATCAAAAGTGGAGACTTCTTTCTAGTCAGACTCAGGAGCAATTAAATAGTTTGCAAAAAGATGGGCTGCTTGAATTTGCCAGAAAATTCGATCTTTCTGTGACAGTCAAAACATTATATTCTTTGCCTGTTTAGGGTATTCATTTGTTACAAGGCAACGACCTAGCTAGAGACAAGGTTGTGGTTAATCTACTTGTTTCTGACAAGCCTTGTTTGGATCAGAAAGTTGATCTTACTGAAAACGAATCCCCGACTTATACCAGTTTGTGCAGTTACCAGACCTATGACAAAAAAAGCTCTGGAGAATGATGTTGATCAGGAAAGTTTTCCTATAGCTGACACATGTATTGGTCAGGTTCTTGATGAGGTCACGTTCTCTCCTTGTTTGGACAAATCAAAGAGTATTGATCACAGTGATCGTCTTTTAATATTCATTCTCTTTTATCAAATCAGGATGATAAACGACAATCATTTGTCGTCGAACAGGAAAAATATCCTAAACTCTCCTTTTTGTTTCAGAGTGCAATTAGTAAAACAAAAGCAAATTAAAAAAAACTGCCTGTTATTTCATTAAAAATAGAATTCTTTTGAGAAATGAAAACCTCCCGAGGTACCTGCTAGTGACGTGTAGTCAGTGAACTATCAGGTTGTAGTTCCAAAATCTTACAGACAGGAAATTCTTATTTTGGTCCATGAAACTACTCTGGCTGGTCATTTAGGGATAAATAAAACTTATCACAAGAGCTTGAATCACTGCTATTGGCCAAAAGTCAAAAGTTATCTTTTGTAAATTTTGTAGATCTTGTCATACTTGTCAAATGGTAGGAAAAGCCAATCAAAAGATATCTAAAGTTTATTTGCACCCTATCACTGCATTTGATAAACTATTTAGCAGAATTATAGTAGATTGTGTTGGTCCCTTACCTAAGACCAAGTCAGGCAACCAATATTTGTTAACCATTATGTGTGCGTCAACAAGATTACCAGAGGCAATTCCTTTGAGGAATATTAAAAGCAAAACTATAGTACAATCTTTGATAAAGATTTTTACTCAATTTGGCCTTCCCAAATCTGTCCAATCAGGTCATATGTCAAATTTTATGTCATGAATTTTAAAGCAAGCTATGCTTGAATTTGGCACTCTGCAATTCTAGTTAAAAGTGGAGTTATGGTTTCACAAAACTTAGATTTTACGGCTCTTACAAAGAAAAGAAGACAATGAATGAAGTAAGTTATAATAATAATGGTACTCTGACCTTAATAAATTAATGGAGTACTAGTATATTAAAAGAGATAACCAGGTAAATCATGTAATTAATTTAGTTGTACCTGTCCCACAATCTGAGGATTTAAGTAAGGGAATTCAATCGGACACTTTTAATTTAAGAGTAATAAATCTTCGAAATTCGGAAATTATAAAAATCTGGACGAGAAACCTTTGTTTTGCAATAACAAAAAAAAAGAATGAACTTAAACAGTTATTATTTAAATATGAGCACTTGTTTCCAGATATTCCTACAATTCCTACAAGGACACACGTTTATCATGATGTAGAAATTGTAGATTCAAAACCTGTAAACAACACCCTTGTAGGATGAACCCTCTCAAACAGGAATGCCTGAACTTCAGTATTTGCTGGAGAACGATTTAATAAAGCACAGTAAAAGTGATCGGAGATCACCATGTCTCTAACCCAGATAAAACTTTTATTGTGTGCACTGATTATAGCAAGCTGTACAGAATGACAAAAAAATTAGATAATTTCCATTACCTTGAATCGATGACTTTTTTTTTTATAAAATTGGAAATGCCAAGTACGTCACAAAATTTGACCTTCTGAAATGATTTTGGCAAATTCCACTAACGGAAAGAGCAGAGGAAATTTCGGCATTTGTAACCCCATATGGACTCTAAAAAATATAACGTAATGCCGTTCGGGATGAAGGATTCCCCAAGTACCTTTCAACGCTTGAAGAATATGATTACCTCTGGTCCAGATAATTGTGATGCTTATATTGATGATGTCATCATCTAGAACGACACCAAAAAAAAAAAAGATCTAGCTATGATTCGGAAATTCTTTGACACACTCACTGATGCAAATTTGACAATCAATTTGTCTAAAAGTGAGTTATGCCGTGCTTGTATGACATTTCTAGGACAGATTGTTGGACATGATCAAGTTAAACCTATAGATGCTGAGGTGAAAGTTTTCTTTGATTTCCCTATGCCTAAAAATCAACTGTTTCGAATTTTGGGTATGGCTGAATACTATCGTAAATTTTGTTAAGTTTTTTCTAATATTGCTGAATCCTTGATAACTTGTTAAGTAAGAAAAAACAAATTTCTTTGGACTGGAAAATGTCAGGAGGCTTTTGACAGGTTAAAAGCCATACTCAAAAGTGCTTCGGTTCTTACAACTCCAAATATCAATAAATGTTTTAAATTATCTGTTGATGCAAGTGATGCTGGGGATGGAGCAGCATTGATTCAAGAAGATAAAAATGGTGTTGATCACCTAGTGTGCTATTTCTCTAAAAACTCAAATAAGCAACAAAGTAACTACTCAACAATCGAGAAGGAATATTAGGCTTTAATATTTGCATTTCAACATTTTGAGGTTTACATTAGTTCAGCTCCTTCTCAGGTCGTTGTTTAGTGATCAGAACCCCCTTACTTCACCAACAAGATGAAAAGTAAAAACAAAGATTATTAAGGTGGAGTTTTTTTGCAATAACATAATCTTGATATCAGGCACATTAAGGAAACAAATAATTAGATTGCAGATGCATTTCACCATGTATAAAAATATTATTTCATGTACACTTTGTACAATTCATAGGTTTTCTTATGTAATCTGATTTTACCTCATGTATAGTTAACATATAGTAAAAATCAAGCTTCATTATATAAATCTGTCTTTTTCTTTATGGAGGAAAGTGTGACGATTACGTAATTTGGTTACTTGTATGCTAGTTTTAAATCCATTGCTTTAATATTTGTTTCATTGCATTTTATTGTAATTATTGTTTTCACGGGATGTGATATTTTTAAAAAATATTCAGTCTAATTTGAGTGTAAAAGATATTACATTATCACTACTTTTAGCTCACTATGGTTCACAGATCGTGTAAACATCGGGTGAATACGATTGGCCTTCACCAAGGTCATTTCAGTCCACGTGTTAGCTGAACCATAAGCGGCCTTTCTTATTTTTTACTTTCAGTGTGACAATTTGATTCTTAGATAGGGCTATTCTAGCATATGTGACAAATGACATTTTTTATTGCACGGTTTGATGGTTAAGAGATCATGTGACCTATCACACGTGTCAAAATGACGTTTTTAGTTGGGTTTAATACTTGTGTCTTAGTGAAATCTAGGGAGTAGTATTCTTAAAGCTCAGAGTTCAAGACGTTCTTGATTGTTGATGAAAGCTTGTTTTGAAGTTTATCTCTTTTTTGGAATTTAATAACTCCTTTTCTAGAAAACTACAAAAGTACTTCATATTAATAAAAATTTATGGGAGGAATATATTTAGTTGAACTTTATTCTGGAATTCTTAACAGAACATTATAAACTGTGTTTCAACGAGAAATTGTTGCTGTTAAAATAACTACCTCATCTGACGTCATCGCCTTCCATATTGGAACTTCATCGAGGTTCTAACCTGATTCAATTAAAACTGTTTATTGATAGGACTTATATTTTTCAATTCTATTATTAATTTTTAACCATATTCACAAATCGTATATCATATATCATACTTATTTTTTTCCAAGGGAAATAAATTATTTTTGTTAAAATTTACAAAGCTTGTTGACTTCACTCTTTTCTTTTGTTACATTTATACGAGCTTACACGTAACAACACGAATCTTGAAAAACTCAGTAAATGCGCTCACGTAGTTCCAGTTGGATATTCTACATATGTTTTTCAAACAAGTCATTCAAAGGAATGTATTTATTAAAGACATAGTCAAACCGTTTGACAGAAATGCAATCAGATGGTAAATCATCTAAAAAAAAAAACAGTTACTGACTCCCAACACACCACGAGTCGTGAAGCAGCATGTTTTTGAGGAGAAATTTCTTGTCAAAATGTATTTGTAATCCCGTAGGCATTTGTCCTCTGGAACCAATGGTAGCCTTCCAGCCTTGTGAGTAAAAGTCTTGGCATCGAAACTCTTCTAAGTTGGGGCTAGTTGATCAATGTCTAGCCATTTTAACAATGTCAAAGTAATACATTATTCAGTTACCATAGTTGAAAATATTTCTGTGGTAGATGTTGTAATTGTTGTTTTTTTATTGCGTGCTGTATATGATGCAGTTGTTCTTGTGTTTCACTTGGGTCATGTAAATGTGTTCTCGCAGTTACCATGGTAACCTATACAAAATCTCTACTTTAAAGTATCCACGAGGAAAATAATCATACCCCCTCCAAAAAACGGAAGGTAATGATATTACGGAGACCATCTGGAATGTTGCATCGCTTATGACACAGGGTACAGCATCCCACTAATAGCATGGCACTCTAACCTTTGTTGATTTTGGAATCGCTTAATCCATCAGTTGATTTCTGTGTTGAATTTTTCCTTCTGTGTCAATGTATAAACACAAAATGATCTTTCTGTTTGGGAACTATCTTTTGAATGGGATCGCTTCGGTGGCCTAAGTGGTTAGGGCTTATGCCTCGGATGCGGCAGACCGTGGGTTCGAACCCTGACCGGATCACACCAAATATATTTAAAAATGGTACTTACTGCTGCCTGGCTTAGCGCTCATCATTAAGAGGTTAGTGTTAGAACTGTTCGACCTGGTGTCAGGATAATGTGATTGGGTGTGACATCATGCTTTATATCTCCGGCATGATGCCCCAGTGCTAGACATCACTATAAACTGTCACACTGCAGATATGGAGCAATATGACTGAAACATTTTTAAAGCTACGTCCGTCAAATATCCAAATCACACACATACATACATACATACATACATACATACATACATACATACATACATACATACATACATACATACATACATACATACATACATACATATACATACATACATGCACACAAAATCTTTTGTATGTGTTATTTTGACCGGTATCCTTACGGTATCTTGTTTTGAAAGGGTAGGCGCACACGTTTATTTCGATATACTTTTCCATGGATCGACTGGTGATATCTTGATTTGACCAACAGACAATTGTGTGAGGATCCACAGTTTTCAAGTGAAAGTCTCCAATTTTGACGTGACTTTAAAGCATCTCCTCTTATGACACTGAAGTTCACTACTTGACTCAAACGAATGTTCCATGTCAGTCCTTTTACTGTACACTTAGTATGAACTTGTCTTTTTTGTTTTTGCCTCGGTAACGCTAACAGTAAGTTTTGGCTCTATCACAAGCAAAACTCAAAATAGTTGCATCGACCAAATCTATTAGACAGACATTCGTCATCGATGTATGGTAGCAGCTTCCAGGATGGTCACTGGTTAGCGACCGCCTCGGATGCAGGAGAACCCTGACCAAATCATGCCAAAGACTTATTTTAAAAAATAGTAGACATCTGCGTCGCTAGACGCTTAGCATTAAGAGGTTAGTTTTAGGACTGGTCGGCTTGGTGTTAGAATAATGTGACTGGGTGGGACAAATGCTACGTGCGGCATGATGCCCCAGTGCTATACATCACTATAAATTGTCATACTGTAGATATTGTAGCGATATGACTGAAACATTATTAATAGCTACGTCAAAAAAACAAATCACACACACATACACACACACGGACGCGCGCGCGCGTACGCCTATCGGTGTCAATATAGGGGACTGAATCTCCTAAAGGTTCCGAGACAGGTCATAATTTTAAACGAGCATTAGTGTCAGATAATACATTACCAAACTCAGCGTGTGGTGCAAACTCCGCGACTAATTCGTATTTCATCAAGATTGAATATTCACGTAAGATTTTGGCGTGTTTTGACTAACTATTCCATCTTTGGCAATATCGGACATTGAGCCAGTTTTCTCCACATGACTTTTCCAGATGGTGGTATTCCTTCGTTCTGCTGCAAGTGTTTTTCTGTGATGTCTTCTGGGGATCTATATCGTTCTTTGAATTCGACTTTGTGTTTTGGAGTCAGTGGATATCAACAGAATATCTACTCAGTTTCAGAAATTTGTTAGCTTAGTCTCAAACATATCCCTAGATTCGCGGTGGAATCATTTTGATAGTGTTCTGTCAAAAGAAAGTGCCAAAAACACAGCAGAGCATGCAACAATTCGATACTCGCTAATGTTCCTGTGAAAGCTCGTTCTTGATCATCGTGGCGACGAGGGTGGTCTTGATTACACATTACAGCACACGCATGACATCAATGCAACATCGGTTTCCCTGGCAAATATGAGGTACAATAGGATGGTACAAATTCGTTCGTGGTATAACATTATACTAATCAACAATTCGTATTAGCGAAAGTGTTAAACGTCAATGTCTTTTATCAACATTGTAGGAAGGCCGTTGGGTAATCGAGCATAATTACAAATCCAATAATACAAGAAACACATATTGATGTGTTTGATTTCCTCTCCTTGGGATTAGTCTACTTCGTACAACTGTGTAAAACTGGTCCTCAAAAAACAAACTGTTGCGTGGATTTCAAGATTATATATTCACCAAATTGCAGTTTTTGAAGATGCGTTTAAATTCCGGATCTTTTTTTCAAAGGTCCATCGTAGTTGTGTTTCTACATGTATACCACTTGATATTGTTGACTTTCCAAGCTCGATGATATGCTTGGTCGTACAACTCTTTCATTAAGCACTATGCGAAAGGAGTATTCAGTTGAGGAAAACAGGTATGCATCCTTGAAATAAAAAAAAGACTGTCTTAAACATTTTCTCCTATGCTAGGCCCTGCTCCTGCCTCTCCTGTGGCAGTAGTGACTGCTACTGATTCTGAGGTCTCAGTGGTGGTGACGAACGTTGATGTAGTCATAGAAGGAGATCCTTTCGGTTTGGCCAAACAAGTCTGATACGTTTCTCTCCGCTATTTTTAACTCGGCCTACATGCCTTTTAACAAAATGGCCGTTTTGATTTCACTCTTCCTTCTTCTCACTGCAAAAAACTATTATCTTTTCCTCTGCTTGCTTATTTTTTACCTTTTGTTGTTGCTGTTGTTATTGTCGAACATATACGTTGCAAAAATCTCTCCAATCACTTCCTTTTTTAAAATTATCATATATTTCGTAATAATGGAAAAAGGAAAAGACGGGTGTACTATCGATACAAATTCTTGCGAAGAAGATAAAACATCGACCAAAGACTAATCGAAGCATTTCTCTTCCAAAAGAGTACTAGTTATAGTAGTAGTAATAGAAGCAGCAGCAGCAGCAGTAGTAGCCGTAATGTCTATCCGGGTATAAGAATGACTAACTGCAGGCGTACTCAACATACATCGTCTTTGTTTCAGCCATTGGTACTGAACTTGAACTCTTAAGCAGTGGTACATGGCATTAATGTTCGTATGTATTACTCTGTGGGTCACCACAAGAAGAAACTTGTGAAGAAGAACTATGAAGTGGTCCAATGTGTGTTAACTCTTTTTGGTTAGCCGCTCCCAATCCAACGGCCCTTTCAGGACTACTCAAGTCTCTTCGAAAAGACAGATATCACTCAAAACATTGCCTTTGTAAGTTTTATGTTTGTGTGTTTGTACAAATAGCTATTTTTGTGCCTGTTAGATGTATTATTTTTTAAAATTCAAACCCCTCCCTTCTACCCCCTTTGTGTGTGATATTATGTATCTGGATATAGCGCGAATATGAGCACTACCGCTCTTTGCTTTGGAGTTATAAATGCTCTTACCGTCTTCTGTGTGTATAGTGCATGTATATTTCAGTCCCCTTCTTTTACATCTTACACTTTTCGTTGGATAGTAGGTGTAGTGCCGGATTTACCATTGTGCTTAGTTGTGCTTAAGCACAGGGCCTCTGTTGGTCAGGCGGGCCCATCTTCTTGGAAAAAAAAAATTACGATGAAATTTTCAACAGTCTGTGGCTATTTTAACTGCTCCTAAATTTCCCGAGTATATAGGCCTGACTACCTCTGTAGGCATACCGGGCCTACCTCCTTTAGGGTCCAAGTAAGGGGCTTCATTTGTCCGCAATCCGCCACTGAGTAGGTGTACGTGTTTTGGTCACTACACACGACGTTTTTGATAGTATAGTGTGGGTTGTTGAACAGTAAACAAAACGTGGGTGTCCTAGAGTACAAAAAAGTGGAAGTTTGGGAGAGTAATGAAAAAGTGGGTGTTGGATTTGGGACAGTAATGAAAAAGTTGGAAAGTAATCAAAAGTGAGCATTTGATAGTGTTCAAAAAGTGCGTGCTGGGGTCCCAGTACGGTTCTATAAATCTGTAGTATATTTTTGTCATTAGCTTTATCTAAGCTCTATGATGGTCTTAAATGTAAACTTAACAAGGCTCGCAAGTGACCCGTATTACCTCTTGTGTCAGCTTCAAATGAAGTTATGTCGAAGTTTTCTTTATAACCACTGCAAAATTAACATATTAATGATTTTTTTTTCTTACTTTTATAAACAATTAATAATAGAAACATTGTATATCGAATCTTCCAAAATCAGGGACAGGTTTGGTTTGGTAAATAATTTTTTATATTGTTTTAATATTTTATCTTTCTCACAGTAAGAATCATAAAGTTGAATCAAGGCCATGCCTGGACTATGTGGCAAGCAGCATATATCAATTGGTTCAAACTTCTATTTTTCCCAGAGGAATGAACTTTTGACCCTCATCCGCAAATCTGTTTTGCGTCTTAATTTGCGTATACCTTGCTTTTAAAAAGTATATTGAGTTGAGCTCAACACATTCGAGACGTTAAGTTGTATAATGTTGTGACCTGTTTGGGTTTAATTTATTTTTTTTCAAATTGTTAAATTCAAATGATTCTTGTTAAATTCAAATGATTCTTGTTCCTGAAAATACAAAAGTGCTCTCTCAAAATTCTTGGATGAAGACATTGATTGGAATTTATACTAAATTCAAAACTGGAATATTTTCTGTAATTCAACAAGAGACTGTTGAAACAGCAGGACTTCGCTGACCACAACAGACGTCATCGCCTTCAATTTTGGATTTCATCGGGACTCAAACTCACATTCATTCAGGACATTTTATTACAAGGTCTTCTTTTTTTATTCTTGGATTATTTTTTGATTAATTCGTAAAACCGTAAGTTCTTTTTTTTTGTTCACTTTATATTCTAGGAAAATAAATTGTTAAATGCTACAAATCTTCTTTTCTTCGCTATTTTCTGATATTTATTTTAATAGCACATACTCGTAACAGAGTATTTACTTATCATGTGGATTTCTTAAGTCTATAAGTTTCTCTCGGGATTATAGAATCAGTCTTTTATAGTCTCGTAATGCGGTTATAGCAGTCATCATGGTAACCTCGACAGTGCGATACTTTTCTGTCTTCCCTTTTCTTTACGTTTTCATTTTCGTCATGGATGTGTAATGCATGAATTATTTGCTTTATGGGTATTTACGATAGCTACGCATACGTTATTACCTATTGTGGTTACTCTGTGTTCATTTTGAATATAAATACTATAAAAGCAAATTCTTTAAACATTACAAATCTGCTCATGCGACATTATTATCTCCTACGCTACGGGATTCCCACCAAAAATTGTCTCACGT